GGATAAATAAAATTCAATAAATAATTCTATTAAAAATGAAAAAAAGGAATAAAAAGATTCATGGAAGCCAATGACAATGAGTACAAAAGTTTCTATAATCCTTGGGACACTGCAAAAGCAGTCATAAGAGGGAAGTTCATAGCAATTAGTGAACATAAGAAGAAGATGGAAAGGAGGAAAATAGACCACTTAACATTATGCCTCAAGAGTTGGAAAAGCAGCAGCAAAAAATCCAAAACTCTAGGAGTAAAGAAATAATAAAGTTCTGAGCAGAAATAAATGAAATAGAAAATAAACAAACTATATAGAAAATAAAATGGGGACCAGAAATTAGCATAATGGCTATGTCGCTGGACTCCCATGTAGTCGACCGTGGTTTGAGTCCCGGACCCGGTGGCTTAAACTCACGCCAGGTGCGTGTGCATGCATGCCCAAGATCCCGAGAAGAGAATGGAGGAAAAGGGATTGCGGCGTGGCCATCCCCTCTGGGGGGTGATTTCTCACTTTCTATCTCTCTGTCTCTCTGTGTCTCCCAGAATTTCCCCAGTGTTTTCCAGGAGCAGTTTTATAGTTTGAGGTCTTAGATTTAGATTTTTGATCCACCTTGAGTTGATGTTTGTCAAAGGTGAGAGGTAGGGGTTCAGATTCACCTTTCTGCAGGTGCAAATCCATTTTTTCCAGCACCATTTGCCTAAGAGGACTTATTTTCCCACTGAATTGACTGGTACCCCTTGTCAAAAATCAGTTGACTTCCAGTACTATGTTCGAAAGGAGTGGAGAAAGTAGGCATCCTTATCTTGTATCAGTTTTTAGTGGAAAAGCTTTCAGTTTTTCATCACTCGGGATAATACTATATATATATGGGTTTTTCATAGATAGCTTTAATTGCTTTGAGAAATGACCCTTCTATGTCAATTTTGCAGAGAGTCTTGATCATGAAGCGATGTTGTATCTTATCAAATGCTTTTTCTGCATAAATTGATATAACCATATATTTTTTATCTTTCTTCCTGTTAATATGGTGTATTACATTTATGGTTTTGTGTATATTGAACCAACCTTGCATTCCTAGAACAAAGCCTACCTGACTGTGATGTATAATCTTTTTTTATAAAATATTGGGTGTGATTTGATAATATCTTGTTGAGAATCTTTTTGTCCATATTCATCAGAGATAATGGTGGTCTCTATAGTTGTCCTGCCTTGTGCTATCCTTACCTCTTTCAAAGATAAGGGTGATAGAGGCTACATAGAATGAATTAAGGAGAGATTCACACTTTAGCATCTTTAGAAATGACTTGAACAAACTGGGGATTAACTCTTCTTTGAACGATTTCTAGAATTTAGAAGTAAAGCCATCAGGACCAGGGCTTTTCTTTGTTGGGAGGTTATTTATTACTGATTCAATCTCCTGACTTGTATGGGCCTTTTCAGACTTTCTATATTTTCCTGGCTCAATCTCAATCTTGGTGGGTTATATGTGTCCCGCAATTTGTTCATCTCATCAAGATTGTCTTGTTTCTTGGCATATAGATGTTCATAGTATCCTCTAACGATGTTTTATATTTCTGCTATGTCTTTTGTTATATTACCTGCTTCATTGCAGATTTGATTCACCTGGTTCCTTTCTCTCATTTTCTTAATAAATCTCACTAGTGGTGTATCCATTTTATTTATCTTATCAAAGAACCAGCTTTTACTTTCATTTATTTTCTGTAAACTTAATTTATTTTCTATTTCCTTTATTTCTGCTCATATATTTATTACTTCCTTTCTCCTGGAGTTTTTTTGGATTTTTTTGTGCTGTTGCTTTTCCAATACCCTGAGGCATGATGTTAGGTGATCCATTTGCCTTATTTCTGTCTTCCCCTTATGTGCACTAATTGCTATAAACTTCCCTCTTATGACTGCTTTAGCAGTGTCCCAAAGATTATAGAAACTCATGTCCTCATTGTCATTGGCTTCCATGAATCTTTTTTATTTCAGTCTTTATTTCTTAAGTACTCGTGGAGTCATTCAGGAGTAAGTTATTTAGTTTCCATGTATTTGTGTATTTTTGAGGATTTCTCTTGAAATTAAACTCAAGTTTAATTCCATCATGGTCAGAGAAGATGCAGAATATAGTTGCTATGCCTTTGAATCTTTAGAGGCTTGCTCTGTGCCCTATGATGTGGTCAATCTTTGAGAAGGTTCCATGTGGGGGTGAAAAAATTGTATTTCATGGCTTTTGGATGGAAAGTTCTATAGATGTCTGTTAAGTCCATTTGATTTATGGTATTGTTTAGATCCTTGAGCTCTTTACCTATTTTTTGTCTAAATGGTCTGTCCATAGAGGGTAGTGAGGTGTTGAGGTCTCTAACAATTATTATTTTGCAATCTATCTCCCCTTTTAGATCTAACAGTCTTTCCTTCACATATTAGGGTGCTCCTGTGTTAGGCGCATAGATATTTATAAGCATTATATCTTTTTTTTTTTAGCCAAACCCCTTTTATTTTCTCTGTTTAAAATCAAACAGAAACAAACATCAATTACATCAATTCTGTTGTACACTAACATCTTCAAAGTACATAGTTTGTACAAGAGAAGGACTAAGAACAAAAATGTGTTCACAGAGATCCAAACACAAGTGAGTGAGTGAGCCCCTCACACAGCTTTCCAATGGTACTCGGGGGGAGCCACTTCATAATTGCTGGCACTAAACAAAGTTGCAGAATTCTTTGCCAGGTTCTTTAGGAAATCATGAAGATAATTCAGTAATAAAGCAAGGCTCTTCTCATCAAGAGGTGTATAGGCCAACATCGCACCAATCCATACAAATAATCTCAGTAGATGAGGTGCTCCATACACTTGGGACATGGGTGCATCAGGGTGATCTGCAAGGATCTCAGCATACTGTGGTCTCTCAAACTTGTAGAGCAGCTGAGTGCCCAACATGATTTTGAAGTATTCTTTTATACCTGCCACAACTTCATTCACAGCATACTCTTTATTATTGGTGTTTCCTCGAGATTTCTTATAATTTGCATAATCCTCCAGAATGGAATCCACATTCTTCTTAGCAGGAAGATGAAAGAGCTGTTTTTGCCAGATAATTAAGTCCCAGTCATCAACAAGCCATGGTTTTAGTTCTTCAGGAATCTTTACTTTAACTTCAACTCTGTTCATAAATGTTTCCTCATTTTCAACAGTAGGATCTTCCCGGGCCCTTTTCTTCCGAGGAGGCTGAAGTGTCTCACTGGTACTGCCGGCATCTCCATACCCAGGTATTTTCTGTTTGTTCTTTTTTGTTTTCACTTCAATATTTTTCTGTTGCAGACCAGATGTCTTCCTTCCTGGTGCAGCCCCTCTCATCTTGCCCTCTGCATACTGCTCCTGGTTGGCTTTTTGAAGTTCTCGCTGTTTCTGCAGATTGGAGTCCATGTATTTGAGTACTCTGCTCTCTGGAACCCATTCATCCCAATTTTTATTCCAGCCACTGTAATGTATAAAATATTTCACTTGCTTATCCTTTATGGCAACTTTCACACACTTTGATTCATAAAGAAAAGGTCCATGAAAGCACAGCACTCTTTCACCCTCCTGAAATTTAGGCTTCGGATCCTGCTTCAGCGCCATCTATGTGATTCACCACCTCCTCCTTCTCCCACCACCCCCTACTACCACCCCCTACTCTCTACTCCCGCATTGTATCTTCTTGATCTGTTGACACTTTTACTACAATATAGTGCCCTTCTTTGTCTTTTTGATCTTTTTGTTTTAAAGCCTATTTTGTCAGAAATTAGTGTCGTGACTCAAGCTCTTTTTTTGTTTCCATTTGCATGGATAAACTTTTTCCAACCCTTCACTTTCAGTCTATGTATGTCTTTATCCATGAGGTGGGTTTCCTGTAGGCAACAGATAGAGAATTTCTGTTTTTTGTTTGTTTGTTTGTTTGCTTGCTTAATCCATTCAGCCAGTCTGCATCTCTTGATTGGAGAATTTAATCCATTCACATTCAATGTTATTATCGATGTTACTGGACCTGTCCCGTTGTTTAAGTTGGCCATTGTCTTGATTTCCTTTGTTTCTGGCTCTTACATATTTAGTTTTCCTGGAACAGTACTTTTCTTCAGTGTTTCTTGAAGAGCTTGTCTGGTGTTGGCAAATTCTTTCGGGTTTTGTTTGTCTGAGAAGATTTTGATCTTTTTTTCCTATATGAAGGATAATCTTTCAGGATATAATAATCTTGGTTGAAATTGTTTCTCTGAACACTTTCAATATGTCTTCCCATTCTTTCCTTGCTTCCATTGTTTCCATTGAGAAGTCCAGTGTTAGCCTGATGGGGTTACTTTTGTAAGTCACTTGTCGTTTCTCTCTTGCCAGTTTTAGTACTTTGTGTTTATCTGTGGTCTTTACCAGTCTGGCTAAAACGCGCTTTGGTGAAGATCTTCTTTAGTTGATTCTATTTGGGGTCCTCTGTATTTCTTGGGCCTGGATGTTTGAGTGCCTCTCTAGACTTGGAAAGTTTTCTTTCTGGATTTCATGGAATAGATTTTCCATACCCTTAGTTTCTTCACCTTCTGAGATACTAATTATTCTGATGTTAGGGCATCTAACGGAATCTAGTATATCTTGTATATTATCTCATGTTTTTTTTTTTTTTTTTTTTTTAATTTTCGCTATCCTTTTGGTAGTTTTCTCTAGGTCAGAGGTTTTATCTTCTATGCCAGAGATTCGATCTTCAGCATGGTCTAATCGACTTTTAATACTTTCGACAGAGTTTTTGATTTCCTGTATTACAGACTTTATCTCTAATATTTCCACCTGATTCTTTCTTAGTGTGACCATTTCTTCTTTCATATCATGGAAGGAATTCCTAATCTCCTGTAGTTTGTTATCTCTTTTCTGTTCCAACTCATAGAATTTTTTCACCATGTATGTTATAAATTCTTTTTCTGACATTTTGGTAACGTCCTCTGTTTGTTTTTTTTTGTTTGTTTGTTTTTTGTTTTTTGTTTGTTTTTTGAGAAATGAAAGAGAGTCACTGTGTTCTTTTGATGGAGACATATTTCCTGGTTTATTCAGACCTGAGGCTCTTCTACTTCTAGGCATTGGGAGACGTATTCACCTTGGAATATGTTTTAGGAAAATGTTTTTTTGACTAGGAGCAAGTGTGTTTCCCTTTAGCTGTAGACTAAAGACTGCCAAAATCTCTCTTCTGTTGTGTTTAGCAATGTGGTTCGAGGAGGAGTATTATATTCAGGTGTCTGAAGAACAGTATCTTGATATAGACCAGAAGCAGGGATTTTAGTTCTTTCCCACTATTCAAGATGACAGATGAGGGAACCAGCAGTTAGCGTAATGGCTATGTCGCTGGATTCCCACGTAGTCGACCTCGGTTCGCGTCCCGGACCCGGTGGCTTAAAACCCACTCCGGGCGCGTGTGCGTGCGTGCCCAAGATCCCAAGAGGAGAATGGAGGAGAAGGGATTGCAGCATGGCCATCCCCTCTGGGAGGTGATTTCTTGCTTTCTGTCTCTCTGTCTCTCTCTGTCTGTCTGGCGAATGCACGTGCCCTATAGTGAAAAACCTCTTAAAAAAAAAAAAAAGATGACAGATGAAAAAACTGCAAAGCAGGATACTAAGGAGAAGAAACTTAAAGCCAAGAAGGCTGATGCCAGTGGCAAGATTAAAAAGGGTGACCCCAAGTCTAAAAAGCCCAAGAAGGGGAAGCCCTATTGTAGCTGAAACCCTGTCCTAGTCCAGAGTATCAGCAGATACTCCCAATCTGCCATGTATCCAAGGGAGGCTATGTGCAAGAGGAAATATTTGGCCACTAAATCCAGGATTGAAAAGAAAAAGAATAAGAACGTTCTTGCAACTGTCACAAAACCAGTTGGTGGAAACAAGAATGGTGGTACCTGGGTGATTAAATGACGCAAAATGCCTAAATATTATCCTACTGAAGATGTGCCTCAAAAGCTGTTGAACCTCTGCAAAAAAAACCCTACAGTCAGCATGTGAGAAAGCTGTGAGCTAGAATTACTCCTGGGACCATTCTGATCATCCTTGCTGGATGTCACAAAGGCAAGAGAGAGGTTTTCCTGAAGTAACTGAGCAGTGGCTTGCTACTTGTAACTAGACGGCTGGTTGTCAATTGAGTTCCACTGCGTAGAACACACCAGAAATTTGGCATTGCTATCTCCATGAAAATTGATATTAGCAAAGTAAAAATCTCAAAGCACCTTACTGATGCTTACTTCAAGAAAAAGAAACTGTGGAAGCCCAGACACCAGGAAGGTGAGATCTGTGACACAGAGAAGGAGAGATACAAGATTTCAGAGCAGTGCGAGATTGATCAGAAAGCTGTGGACTTGCAAATTTTACAAAAAATCAAAGCTGTTCTTCCACTCCAGGGCCACCTGTGATCCGTGTTTGCCCTTGCACATGGAGTTCATCCTCACAAATTGGTGTCCTAAATTTTTTGCCAAGAACCTAATTAAATAGCTGACCATAAAAAATAAAGAACAGTATCTCCTTTTATGCAGGTGGTTCATTAAAAGGGAGGATCCAGGGAGTCTTACAATACTAGAATATTTTAGAACTGTGATTATAGACCTATCTAGACCACCCAGGAGGGCAGAGGAAGAGAAAGAGAGGATCAAATAAGAGAGAAGAAAGTAAGAAGGAGAATAAAGAAAAAGTTGTGTGCTGTGCTATTTCACCAGAGGTCTGGAGATGGAAGTGAGGTCTTCTTTAAAACCAGAGGGGGGAGGTAGTCCTGTGTGATAAGAAGTGTGACATTTACAAATGACAGAAGAGGAGAAGGAAAAACAAAAAGCCTACCTGGATGACAGAGATAGAGGTCTCTGGGCTTGGCGGTGCTGAGGCTGTAGCTGGGGCAGGGAGCCCTGCCTCAGTGTCCCTTAGGCCAGGGGTCTGGAGATGGAAGAGGGGTCTACTGTAGAGCTGAGGTCTGTTCTGGCTGACAGAGATAGAGGTCTCTGGGCTTTGGGGTACCAGGACTGGAGCTGGGGTCCCTGCCTCAGTGTCCCTTAGGCCAGGGGTCTGGAGATGGAAGAGGGGTCTACTGTAGAGCTGAGGTCTGTTCTGGCTGACAGAGATAGAGGTCTCTGGGCTTTGGGGTACCAGGACTGGAGCTGGGGTCCCTGCCTCAGTGTCCCTTAGGCCAGGGATCTGGAGATAGAAGTCCAAAAAAATTTAAAATTTTCTCAGACACAGAAAACATGAAAATTTGCTGACACCACACCAGCTCTTCAAGAAACTCTGAA